TCAGTATATATAGTCCATCAGCTGGATAGCACCAGTAATCCATCAGGGCTGGATAGCCCCAGTAATGCATCAGGCTGGATAGATAATGTCAGTCATCCAATCATCCATGCACCTGGCTTAGGCAAGCTACTGTGGACTCCACCTGGCAACCTCTTTGGGCAGAGATTGCCAACTCCCTGACCATCCTTGCAAATGGTGGAGATGGCCATAGCAGGTTTGTCAGAAGAGGGGTGGTTTGGGTGATTTGTGGCGACTTGGAGTTCTTTTGCCAAGAATTCCAATTTCCGACAGCGATGTCAAATTACCCATGCAAATACTGCTGCGCTACAAATTTCTTTGGCAAGAATGAAGTGCCTTTTACTGATTTCAGGTTTCCTGGCATCGCTCAATTACTTTTTCTTTTGTTTGGTTGAGCTCCTGTAGTGTGGTGCCAATTTGATCCAGGAATTTGTGTGTTCCTTGATCCACAATCTTAGGAGCGCAGCTGCTTGGAGAAGCACAAAGCTGGAGGCTGTGGAGGACATAGTGGACCACCCCCTCATGGATGTTCCAGCAATCAGCTTCTGGACTATAAAGCTTGATTGGCTGCACCTTGTGGACTTGGGCTGTGCAAGCCAGCTCTTTGGGAATGTTGTGTGGGACCTGATTGAAGACCACCTTGAAGGGCCATCAAGGGCTGCAAAGCTCCTGGAGTTGAACCACATGATCTGCAAGGCCTACCAGGAGAACAACATCCCTGCCTCCAAAAGACTGGGGAGGCTCAGCCTGTCTGATGTCTGCAATGGTGGTGATGACTACCCCAGCTTGAGGCACCAGAAGGGAAGGAGAGTGAGATACTTTTCGTTGGTAGCTTGCCACCTGGCTGCAGAGTTTGCAGTGGGTGACTTTGGCAAGCATCGCCTCAAGGCTGTGGAAGCCATGAATGACATGTACTGTTTGGCTGACAGAAAGGAGCATGTGTGGTCTGCAGACACATACAATCAGTTCAAGCAGGCCACACACAAAATGCTCTTGCACTATGGCTGGCTAGCCAAAAAGTCCATGGAGAAGAAGCTGTGCAAATACAGCATCACCCAAAAGCACCACAAGCTGGCTTGCAGGTACATAGACCAGTGCCTATACATGGCACCAAGGTCTACTTGGTGTTACGGTCCTGAGAGTTACATGAGCATGTGCATCAGGATCGCTGCAGCCTCTGTAAAGGGAACAGGTGGCACAAAGCTGCCTGGAAAGGTGCTGCAGAAATTTGCACTCTGCTTCCACTTGCTCTTGAGTGGCCAACTCAACCTCAAAGAGGATGATGCTGACTAGCTGGAAAGCTTGAAGTTGTGAAAAACATGCAACCAGGGCTGGATAGTCCTAGTGCTTTGAATTTGACCTGTGATCTTGCAGGGCTGGATAGCCCCAGTGCTTTGGTCATCTCATAGGCTGGAAAGCCCCAGTGATTTGAAGTTGATCTGTGTTGTTGCAGGGCTGGATAGCCCCAGCTGCCATAAGTCACACACAATCACACACATACATGGATGTTGGTACATGCATGTGTAAATCATGTACACACATGCGCAAAACAACATACATGTCAAAAGACCATCAAACAAACAAAATGCGATTGAATTTTCAAACATTTTGCGATTGAATTTTGAAAAATATGCGATTGAATTTTGAAAGTGCAAAAAGACCATTTTGCGATTGAATTATTTTTTCGAGCAGAAAATGAAAAATCAATAGAAACGATTGAATTTTGACAAATTTCAATCTGCACTTGAAAAACACACTCACGATTGAAAAAATTCAATCTTGGAGCCTTTGGGGAGTTCTGGGCATGACAGTGGTTGGTTGTCAGTTGTGTCTGCTTGGTTCCTCAGTCGCTGAGAATGCCACGGCCACAGATCGCCGGATCCACAGATTTGACAGCAAAACCCCCAGGCTGATTGTGTTTCGGTCAAGATTGCTGTGTCTTGTTCCTCCTTGTTGTTGATGATTTGCTCCGAAAAAAGTCCCTGGACAGTCCACGATGCAGACCTACGGAGAGGGCCGTTATCGTAACTGCAGTTAAGCGTGAATTCACACGTGATGTTAAACAGAAGTTAGTTGAAGTTACGGTGGAGGCGTTTAAGTTCAGCATATCTTACTCCGTCGAATCTTGCGTTCGATTGATTTCAACGTTTCAGATGTCAGAAAACAGCGGACAAACTCACATCTTTTTCACTAATGCAGGCAAAGCACGTCTGATCCTAGGAAACACCACCTAGCAACAACTACAATTTCCATGTCTGGCCGCGGCTTCCACCACTTTCTTTCTCTTGATGGTTTCCATTGACTGCCCCATGGTCTGCTTTTCTTCCATCATCTCAAAGAGAAAGTGGAGGCCGCACGCAGGCCCTGACACCGCCATCAGGGCCAATTCTGCGTGGACATTGGCGCGACGGCGAGCGTCTTCTACAAATATACCCGTCAGAGCCGAGAGAGCTGCAACAAAAAAGGCCAAAAAAACAAGAAAAACTGTCAAAACGCCGCGGACAACTCGCGGACGTCGCCCAATACTTAGCAAGCTTTACGGTCAAATCTCGCGGACTTCTGGCGGACTTCTGGCGGACATCGGCGGGACCTAGAAAACCAACCTTCTTTGTCGCGATCTCAGAGCGCGCGCGGACGCACTTTCCTTTCGCCAAATCTGGTGTATATATGTCGTTTCAGAAGGTGAAAACTATGCTGTTGTCGCTCTCAATTCTGTGGCAAGCAACCGGCCTCCAATTCTTGCCACATTTGTTGCGGGAGAAACGAAGGAAATGCTTCGTATCCCTGCTGGGGACGACGAGTCTTCCCGCCCGCAGACGTGGCATCAGCATTTGCAGACATGCTATGTACGTGGGCTTTATATAGCTTGCTTGGACGAACGTTCTGAGCCAAAAACCTCACTGCAGCATGTGTCATTTGCAAGAAATTTTAGTTATCTTAAAAAACGTTGTTTTTTATGGGAGCCTAACTTCAACACAAGTTCACCTAACTTCCGTGTAACTTTGGCGAGCGTGCTAAGTGGAAGTTACGTTGAAGTCATCCGCATAGCGTGGAAGTTGCGGCGAAGGTATACGTTCAGCAACTTAAGTTAAACTTCAGTTTAACTTAAGTTATAACTTATAACGGCCCTCTCCGTACACTCTGAACACCAAACAACACCCGCCCACACGCCAATCCCAATGTCACAGCGACATTCACCTCACGATTCACTGCGCCTGCCACGAAAATTGCACTTCCATGCCTCAAAGCCCGCACAAAGTGCCGCGCCTGCCACGAAAAGAGAAAATAATATCATATATCATGTGAGCTTCAGCGAACTTTGCACCACACTCACCACACCACACGTTTGGAACGATTTCGACACGTTCTGAGCACACTCCAATAACCCAAAAACACCACTCTCCAAACGCCAATCCCAATGTGACTGCGCAGAAAACTCACCATCTCACAAAACGCTGCGCCTGCGCAGTGGTTTCATCCTCCACACACTTCATCCTATCACATTTCCACACGTTTCCTCGCTCTTTCACACGAATCTGACACGTCATGCTTCCATCCAAAACCCTCTGCAAAAGCTTCGCCCAATGTCAGCGCCATAGCGCTTCACCTGCGGACGGTTGCGAATGGCTTTGCGGACGGTTGCAAGCGCTCAGACAACGAGTCGCGAACAAGGCTCTAAGACCCCCACAGTCAAACGAGAACCCTTCGCTACGCACTCGGGAAAAGAGTCCTGTCGGAAACCGTAAATACGGTTTACATGTGTTTTGAAATTGCCGCCCTTAAAAAATTACCAACATGGCCGATTTTGGTGGAGTTTTAGGTTCCAAAAACAATCCTAACTGCCCACCTCTGTCCACCCTGTCTATCCACCATGACACGCCGCGTTTACACCAGCAGGCTTTCCTTCCCCCAATGGCACGGACTCACCTTTTCGAAAGTGTTGTTGCTAGTCTGATGAAGAATCACTATTTTAATACAGGTTGTTGATGGTTTTTGTAAGGGGAAAAGGAAGACCCTTCGATCTGGAGGTTCTTTCAACTTTTGATGCGAGCTTAAACTATACAAAGTTTATATAAAAATTTTCTGGGTGACTTTTTGGTTGATCAATGATTCAAGGATCCTCCCACTGACCCTATTTTGGACAAGCCTGATTTCAGGGACTCCCTACTATTAGTTTTTGTTAATAGGGGGGCCGTGCTGTGCTATTTTTTTTTAATAGGTGGAGGGGTTTAATCTTGAATGATTAATAGCATTCTAGTTCATGACTTCCAGCCGTCTTGTCCCCAAATTGGGAGACTTGGGCATGGTTTAATTCTCTACCTCAACAAACTTACAATTCACCGCTCATAATGTCAGATTATACTTCAATATCTTAATCTTCTGCAAAAGCCAATTGTCTGCCGCTCACAACAGGCCTTTCTGTGTACAAAAGGCCATAAAACATCATATGTTATAGGTCCTACAGTAGTTACAGGATGTTACAGGCAGCAGCTGGAAGCCTGTATCTGACGGCCATCCTGAAGAAGGCAATTCATCCTTGCTGTGTTTTTAACCGGTTGACATATATACCTATCGTGTTGATGACATATTCAGGTAGTGCAAGCAGTTTTGTATTGATCATCACTTGATCAAACATCTCCCAAATTTATGAAGTGTGTGGCCGTTTGCCCTCCCATGAAGAAAAAGCTTGGTCTGTGAATTGGGTCTCGTGCACCGTATGTGGATGTCCGTGTTAAACACACTGTGGGATTAGATGGTCCCCTCTAAAATTGGGTTCTTTCAAGCTTGGAGGGTTCAGCACCCAGCAACATTAGATAAATACGCAAACATATGGGTTATCTTAGAAGGACCCCAACTCAACCCCCTCAGGATAAAAAACACTCCCCTAAACAAAAGGTAACTCGGAGCATCTCGGTGATCCCCACCACCTCGGATTCCTCTCGCCCCTCCCGGCTCGCTCGACGGCGGAGCAGCCCAGTGGCTGCCAGCAAATTCAAGCGAAGCGAGCGAGAGTCCATGTCAGCCAGCCTGGCGTCGACCGACCGGCAGACCGACGTCAGCTTTGGTCAAGATGACACGCAGGGAATTCCACATCGAAACCGGCAGCTTTTCTGGAAATCCGATGTCGCCGAACAAGGTGATCTGTTTGGGCTCTGTGAATGTCACATCCCATCCCTGTCTTGACGCTGCGAAGAATAGACCACAGGTCCCAGGGATTCCCAAGGTTTTTTTTCTGCGGCAGGAAGGGTCCTGGATTCTTTAAGTACTTGATGGTAGTTGTCGTCATGATCAAGAAAAGCTGTGCTCCTTTCTTTGCATCTGAGGTGCAGTCGCCAGAGACCAAGTTTGATGGTTTTCAACACGTGAAACAGCACGGTGGGATTGGGATGATCGGTTCTGCTCACTACTTCTGCATTGCCAAATGGCCCACAGCTTTCAAGTCCTGTCCTGTGCTGCATGTTGCAGGACTTTAGTAATATATATAATATATATGTTATTTAATTGTATTTGAAATATTTGAAAATCAGTCTGTAACTCATGGAGGAACTCTAATCAGTCATCCTCATTCAAAAGACGGCCAACCTCTATCTTGGGCACAAACACGCAAGCTCGGCTTTAACATGTTTAACTGTAATCCTTTAACTGTAATCCAGGGCAAGTTGACTCCATGAAACATCCTGAAACCACTTGGGAATGCATTGGTTTTACCATTTTTTCACCCAGTCATGGGAATTCTTAAGTCGTGGCAGCCAGAGTTCCGGTGAAGTCTCTTCCGCCCAGAAGCAAACTCACGGCTGTCTGCCACTCGGAGTTGTGGATGGCCGAATTGTAGGAGATCCTCAAATCACCGCGAGAAACAACGAAGTGGATGGCCTGTAGGGCCACAATGCTTGTGACACCACTGGCACACCATGCTTGTGACATCAAAAGGTTGATCTATACCCATTATACCCATCCAATTTAGCAAATGAAAACAACATATACTCACCGAGCAAAACCGGAAGCACACGGCTCTACTCTTTTTCAGGGACATGTCGACTTGGTTGCAATGGTTTAGGGTTTAAGGGTGGTTTGATACATTTTGATACAAACATGCACCTTTTGAGGTTTAGTGTCCAGAGCTTGCCACATGAAAGAGAACAGCCACACGCGACACATCGAACCGAGAAACACGCTTCGTCCGCGGACCGTGGACCGCCCTGTTGCCGCAAGAGCTTGCCACCAATGGTCATGATCACCCCATCAACTCGTTTGAAAACAGCCAAAAACACACCTGTCTCAAGTGGGCAGACCTAGCTTAGCAAGCTCAGCTTGCATAGACAGCCGTGGTTTTTCACACAAATCGACCCCTGGTTCGATGCGGCCGGTGTGAGCGAACCAGCGAGTTCGCCGGGTCACGAACGGTCACTTTGAGGCCTCACTGGTTCGGTCGCGAACTGGTTTGCGTTTTTTTCTTCACAAACCATCGCAAACCTTCGCTTCTGGCGAGCATCTCATCTGGCGTCACAGTGAGGGCAAACATCTCCTCCTGATCCAGCTCTCTGCGAGAAAACTACGCGCGCTGCAGGCTGCAAAACGACAGGCTTCAAGTTGACTCAATAAAATAATTAAACAATTGGCATCTATCTATCTATACACTGCACTGCAATGTATAATATATAATATATATATATATTCAGTCCCAAAATACGGTAGATAGAAACGAGGTCCAATACATGATTGTTAATTGCATTTCCTTCATATCATTATATATCTCTTTGGGGGGCTATTGTAGCTACATGAACTACTGAAGAAGACGTAGCTTATTCTGAGCCTAATGTAGTCCCTTGATTTATAAACCCCCCCCCCCTCAACAACCAAGGCCTCCAAAATAATGTATATGAAAATCAATCAGTTGATAATTAAATAAGGAATCCTTAGCTAGCTACCTCTGGAGCTACTCTCGCAATATTAAATTAAAAGGAAATAAGAATTCCTAACTTTGAAGACCTCTGGCAATATTAAATTAAAAGGAAATAAGAATTCCTAAGTTTGAAGACCTCCGGCAATATTAAATTAAAAGGACATCTCAAATTTCTTAATAGAAATCTCCATCCAAAAGCCTCCAAAAGCATCAAATCTCAAT